GCATTTATCGGGAAAACTAAAAAATCTATTGTTTTTAGTGCGTTATTTAGTGCATTTTTAATATTGCGAAATTGAATTAAAATTTAATTGTATCTAATGTTTTTCAATTATATCAAAATAAACGCGCAAAATACGTTACGGCGCGAATGGCCTTTTTTAAGCAAACTTTAATTTTATTTGATTTAACAACCTCACATGACAGAACTGATAATTTATATTCCCATTCTTAAAAATAAAGTTAAAAAATATAATTCATTTCTTTTTAAATTATTAATAAAGCACACACGTTTTAGTTTTGTATTTTTACATTTATGAGGTTTATACTTATTTTTCATTTCAAAATATACTTTATTAAATTAAGAAAGTAATAGAAACTTAACCTTTGAAGATACGTTTAGTAACAAATGCAATGTATGTCAATCACTGCAGCGGAACTTCCGACACAAATACTATTAACTAATGTACTTTCCTTTCCAAAATAAAATACAAAACATATGAAGCTGCGATTGGTTCATTTTAATATCTATATCCAAAGAACGAACTATTTGGTTGGATTCGAACTTGGGTGTAATTTTTTATATTAAAACTACTGAATTATTCACAGAATTATACACGATTTTTTTTAAACTACAAAAGGGATTTGGGACTTAAAAATTTCAATTAAGTAAAGTTACTTACAAAATTATTTTCTCTTTGCGTATGTGGATGATATAATTAAATTTTAATAAGATTGGGGGGGGGGTTGGGGGTTGATACATTTGTTTCAGTTCATGTAGAACAAGATACCAGACGAGTATGGAAATGAACTTGATAAATAATTACCTTCTTACTAACACATAAACGGGAGTAGGAAATAAGATGTGTACATTATTACGTTGCTGATATTATCTTTAAATCAAATAATATTTAAATTTTGAAAAATAGATGTTAAATTCAATTTTACAAATAAATACTCCTTTACCAACTAAGAAAATCAATGACGTTAACAAAAAGTAGGTATATTTACATAAGTATACCCATGAATATCAAAACTCAATCTTTTTACATACGTGAAAAATTCATTTTGAATATGAATTGAGTTAAGAATTATTGTTTTAAATATATTTAAAAAAAATTTAATTTGCGTTTTAAAGAAATCGAAATATAATGTTATAGGATTATTAAATATATCTTTAAAAAGACACATAAGTCTGTTAAAGACGAGGAAACGGTTTCATAACAAATTTTTCGTTTTGCGATTTTCACGTCATATAGTAGAAAAAAAAATTAAACACGTTGGTAAAATTTAAATGAAGATATATACATTCCGTTAGCATACAATTTATTTAAAGTGATATCAAGAGTTTTTGTTGCATATTTCAAAAAATGTTTGATCATCATTTGATTTTGTTTGCTTTTGAGTCTGTGTGTGGACATTTTCCCCAGGAGCCCAGGGACATGGGTATTTTAGGCCCAGGAGCCTAGGTTTCAAAAGGATTTGAAATAAAGAAAAACACATTTGACTTTTATTACTGAATGCATTTGTTAGTTGTAGGCAATTTAATTTAAAATATTTTTCAATTTCAATTTTAACAAAGAAATGGTTTACACTGGTTTCCATCAACTGTTTTCTTTGTTTAAAAAGTTTATTTGCTCATATGTCAAATAATTTAATTTTACTAAAAATCAAACTTTCGAGAATGTCTAATAGTTCTTTTATGTATTGATTATTTTTATAGTCTTTGCGAGGTTTTCATTGCTATCATTTTTAAGCTTGCAAATGTCTGATGGTTCAATACATGATATTTTTTAAAAAATGACTTTATTGCCTTATCAGATTCCTAATTCCCCCCCCCCCCGAACCCACCCTCTCACATTTTTTCAAAATTAAAGAACAATAATTTCACGGCTTCGCTTTTCTGTTATCTCACATTTCATCTAAATGACATCATCACAGAGCATTGTCAAAGTAACAACTATTATTTAGAAACATTTTTAGGAAGATCAGAAGACCGTTTCTTAACAGCTTGAGTAATTAGAGAAATATATTGTTGACTGTGTTAGAGCCGCGTGAAATTAATAACTAGTGAAACAAGACATGATTATTTGAAATTAAAAACGTGAGAATTTCCATATCACGTCGTGTTTCTCTCAGACTATTTTTAGGAGATAAGACTAGCCTTATCATTAAAAAAAAATATGTTATCTAAAATTTTATATCACGTATCTATAGACATTTGCTGGAATTCTTTTTTTAATTTTTATTTATTAAGATTAATCCGCTTGAAAGAACAACACAGGTCTAAGTAAACAAATTGTAAAATTATTACATTTGATTATCCACATTCAAGTACCAAAGTGTACTGAACTCATAATATGCATTCTACTCGGGGTGGTGGCCCCGTTTTATTTTCTAATATAAACTATATCAATAGGTTTGTACTCCTACATGAATTGATGGATCTTGACTAAACCTAGAAACTATTTTATCCATATTCAGCAACTGAAGGGTACTAAACTCATAATATCCATTCCTCTGGGACCGAACGCCCCATTTAATTTTTTCTTACATAAACTATATCAAAATATCAATAGGCTTAGACATCACTATAGGTTCTATGTCAATTGATTGGTAGATGCCTAGCTTTGTTACAATGCCCTTCATTGTCCATATTGAAATATCGGTGGATTTAAAACTAATATATTCAATCCATGCAGGTCCGATATAGAATTTTCTAGAAAGTTCAATAATTTAAAAAAACTATATCTATGGCATTTTTAAACGAATTATAAATGGTCAAATTTTAAACTTAACTTAATAACCTATCTGAAATTAAATGATTTTTATAGGGCCCCATATCAAGCAAAACTAATTCGGTACAAAATTCTATAGTAATGAGTTGAGTTGTAAAAATTTTCGTATTTGAAGAATAATTACTTAGAAAATACATTTTTTGCACTTTTCGAAGAGGACATTACATTTAATCTAAAATGTTCCAGAAATTTCTGTAGGTCAATAGGCGTAATGCTCCCACATGAATGTATGTATCTTGACCAGACTAAACTTAGTATACATACACTTGATTATCCATTTTCAAGTAAGGAAGGGTACTGAACTTATAGTATTCATTCGTCTAGGGCTTGAGGCCCAATTTTCTTTTTCCTTATTTAAGCTTTATAAATATCAATAGGCTTAGACAACACTATAGTTTCTATGTGAGTTGATTGATATAGGCTTAGCGTGTTAACAATACACTTCATTGTGCGTATTGAAATTTTGATGGATTTAAAACGTTTAATATCCAATGCATTCAGGGTAGATTTAGAATTTTCAAGAAAGATTATTTAAAACAGCTATAATTATGACTTTTTTAAACCGATTTTAATGGACAAACTTTTAATTCCATAATTCATCTGAATGATTTTTTAGGGCCCACTATCTCAGACAAAGTTAAAACAGTACTATATTAAATGGGCCACCAGCTGGGCCCCTATTTCAATTTAAATGTAGTAAAGTTATGGTAGTTCAATTAATTGTAAAATATTTCGCATTTCCGAAATTATTAAGTAGGAAAGTAATTTTTTTACATATCTCTTGGAGAATATTACATTCAAGCTAGAATGTTCTAGAAGGTTATATGATGTTCTACAGTTGTGTGTANGATCGCAAAGAGCATGATCGCAAAGAGCATGATCGCAAAGAGCATGATCGCAAAGAGCATGATCGCAAAGAGCATGATCGCAAAGAGCATGATCGCAAAGAGCATGATCGCAAAGAGCATGATCGCAAAGAGCATGATCGCAAAGAGCATGATCGCAAAGAGCATGATCGCAAAGAGCATGATCGCAAAGAGCATGATCGCAAAGAGCATGATCGCAAAGAGCATGATCGCAAAGAGCATGATCGCAAAGAGCATGATCGCAAAGAGCATGATCGCAAAGAGCATGATCGCAAAGAGCATGATCGCAAAGAGCATGATCGCAAAGAGCATGATCGCAAAGAGCATGATCGCAAAGAGCAACAGGATGCTAATGGGGAACGAGTTCAAACGGTGAACTGGAACCCATCGTTAACGCGATCCCATCGGGAACGGGATCAAACCGTGATCGGGATCCTATCGGGAAACGGATAACATCGGAAAAGGGGGTCCCTAGGTGGAACGGAATCCCACAGACAATGGTATCCTAACGGGATTGGTAGCCCACTGGGATCGGGGTCCCACAGAGATCGAGATAACGACGGGATCCCATCGGGATCTGGATACTAACTGGATCCGGAGACACAAGAAAACGTGATCCCTACGAGATCGGGATCACATTGAAAAGGGATTGCGCAGGATCGGGGTCAAAAGGGGTTTATGTCCCATTGGGATTGGGGTCTTACGAGGATCGGGGTCCTAATGCACTCCCGTGCAACACCGGGTATATTGGATAGTTATTATCTAAAAAAACACAAGGTGAAATTTTCTAGTATAAAATAAATATTCTATCACTATTCATCTATTCAATTATAGCCAGCCTGGCTTCGTCTGAACATTTTTCTTTTAAAGAAGCGACTATTTCCTGACTGACTTTCATTCTCGGCCTCAGCCATGATCGAAACTGAAAAAGTAATTCAGATTAATTGTGGAAATAGGTCAGCGTGCAATGATCTTTTCACACGACTTTGGGCTCACTTTCTTGCAACGCAATGTTCAATTACATTATTTGAAATCATTTTATTACATGTATAATTTTAAGTAATAAATAATTAACACATATCAATAATGTAGCATGTACAATTTTTCTGATCATTCAAATTTAAAAAAAATATTACTAACTAATTAGTATTTGTATTTCTAATTTCAGTATTTGCATAATTTCAACACAAGATGACTAACACAAGCTTTGGTGATGTCAATGAAATTACAATGACTAACACCTCAACAACTGCTACTAGCATTGATACAATCTCATCGTCTGATATAGCCCTGATGGCTAATCTTGCTCTGGATTGCGGCGTCTCTTTCATCGTTGGAATCGTTGGAATAGTTACTAACATTATAAATATGTTGGTATTGTTTCGTCATGGAATGGACGATTCTACAAACATTGTCCTCTTTGGCCTATCAGGAGCTGACATGGTATATTCATGCAGTGAAACATATTATCGATTAATGTACATTACTGCTAGATTAAACATATTATTAGGGTACAGGCTTTCGTCATTTTACCTTGCTATTTTTATATTTATCAGTGCATATGGTACGTGCACCAGCGTTTGGCTAGTTTCCCTTATTTCTATTGAGAGAATGATTGCTGTTTGCTTTCCATTTCAAGTTTCAAGACTCATGTCTCCCACAAGAATGAGGTGCATGGTTGTGTTTGTATTTACATTTGTAGCTGTTCTCTACAGTCCTTGGTACGGCAGATATTACCTGGAGTATGCTCTTGATCGAAGAAATAATAAAACATTTTTAACATATTTTGAAAGGAAAGGGTATAGTGACAACAAATGGTGGATAAATATCATTCTAGATCACATTTTACCAGCCTTTGCCTCACCTGTGCCCATGGTAACTATATTAATGTGTACATTTGCAACAATTATAAAACTGTTCAAGGCAAACACGGATATCGGTAGGCTGTCGACATCAAGAACCAAGCGAGTCAACGAAATGAGATCAATAAAAATATCTTTGACCATTTGCTGCTGCATGGCTTTTTCGATATTAGTTCCCAATGCCTGGTTTGATGCCTTTTCATCATTTGGTGTTGCTTACATACCGCTGGATGTAATTATAATATTAAGATCATTCACACAACTCGTGGTCCAAATCAACGCTACAATGAATTTCTTTATATATGTAGCGTTGAGTCCAAAATTCAAATCCACGTGTTTTAATTTGATTCAATGCAAATAAATGAGCATATTGTAGAGTAAGTAGAGACACATAAATACCTATTTGTCCCTCTTTATAATAAGGTTACATTGTGTAAACACGGCCAATATTATCTATAAAATTCAAACACTTTTTCAACTAATTCTACAATGCAACATTTAGAAGCCTGCTAAGCTTCAGTATTACCTGCCTGTGAGTGAATTTCTTTGCACACAGTCCGCACTCATCAAAAAGGACAAATCCAGAAAGCTTGTAACAATACACAAACTAAACATCCTTCGCCCGAGGAACTATTTGAAGAAAAATACTTTTGTGAACTTAAAATTATTGGGATGAAACATTTCACTTAATGCAATACAGATACCTGGTATTAGCTGTGTCAAGGCATGATTCTTTCTGTTAAAGTTTGGACTGAAAGATATACACATTCTTTTGTTCCAAATCTGTAAGAATTAACCAGAGTTCTCCTTCGGCGTTAAGCAAATCTAAGCGATCACCAATGAAGTCATGATTGTCAGTAAAAAAGTTCATTGATGGATGATTTCATCCCTAGAGAAATACTTAGGATGTTTTGTGTTTAAATTTGTATAATAGTAAGATGTTGTCTTGGTTTAGATACGTATTTGATTTGTGCTGAACATTAATTTCTACTCCATAATAAAAAAAAAACATTTCTAAATATTTTAAATTAGAAAAATTCATTGAAAACACAAAAAATTTATTGCCAGTGCCTGTTGTATTTTGTCGTAATAGAAGATTAAAATGTGAATTTTGCATATAATATGATTGTTCATGAGACGTCATAATTTTTAAAAAAAAAAAAAACCTGTATAACTTTCCATTGATACACATTTTTGTGAGAACTTTTCAAATTTTATAACTCACATTTTCTAACAATATTGCATATCGATAGACTCTTAATTTTTACCAGCATTTTTAAAAATCAAATCCGTATTGGCGTGTAACTTCTTAAAATTTCCTAAAAATGATGTTTAAGCTTTGAGTAGTAACTTGGGATACATAAACATTTTTGATTATGCATATACAATAATTTTATGATGTAGTTATTTAAACATAATTAAATTTTTCTGTGTTTAAATATACTTCATGGGTTTAGGAGGTAAGTTAAAAAATCTAAAAAATTTAAAAGAAAATTTTATTATTATTATTAATTATAATTTATTTTCTTTGAGATTAAGAAATAAAACAATATAATTTTCCTTCTCTCTCAATTTTAAAAGATTTCATAATAAAAGAAATTATAAGTTTGATTATTTCGATATTTATTTGCTGTATAAAAAACTACTTTCCTCATTATTTAGACGAAGGCGATAACTCCAAATGTTTGTCTTAGATTAAAATAAATTGCATCCTGTATTTGAAATAAAGAAAACGCATTTTAATTTCTCTACTGAATGCATTAATTAGTTGTAGACACATTTTTGAAAACCTTTTTAAACTTCAATTTGAAAAAAAAAATAATGTGTAATTTTACATTAGTTTCCATTAATTATTTTCTTTGTATATAGAGTGTATTCGCTTAGATGTCAAAAACTTTAAATTTACTAAAAATAAAACATTCTAGACAATTTTAATTCAATTATGGTCTAAAAGTTCGCTTCTTCATTGATGTTTTTTTATTGTCTTTAAATCGTTTTCATTGCTATGAATTTAAAGTTTGCAAATGTCTAATGGTTCAATAGATCATAATTTAAAAATTGACTTTATTGCTTTTTCATATTCCTACTTTACCCCCAATTTTTTCCAAAATTAAGAACTACATTTTCAGCGCGATGTCTTTCTAGGATCTCACATTTCATCGAACTTATTTCATCTGATTACTAACTAGTGAAACAAGTCATTTTAAACTTTGAACAAAAGGAAACAAACAATTAAACGCACGTCTCGGCTGAATACTCTCTTCAGCAGTCAATACACAACAAAAAAAAAAACAAATATGCAAGATTTTACATATCACCTTGTAGTTCTCACAGACCCTTTGTAATAGCTTAGAATAGCATTTTCATTTTTTTTTTAAAACTATTAAAATTGTATGTTGCATATCAATAGACTTGTGTTAAACATTTTTTTGATTCATTAAGAAAAATACACTTCAAAGAACAGCATATGTCTAAATATCATTTTTTTAAAAATATTAATGCTCAAAAGTTAAATTTCAAGAAATTCAAATTTAATCAAATATTTTTAAAAAAATATAAACAATTTTTAGTTCTTTAAATCGAATATTTTTAGAAAGGAAAAAACAATAAATAACTCATATTTATTTTCATAATTTCAGAAGACTGCTTCCAAATGAACTACGTTAGTTACAAGTATCACATTTCTGTTACAGATATTATGATTTATGTTTCTTAAAAAACATTCAACTATAGGAATTTTAAAAAAAACAACAACTAAACATATGTTGTTAAAAATATTGAAAACGTAGTAGGCATCACGTTAACCGTTTAAATTATTTAATATTGCATTAAATCAAATAGGGCAGTCCACATTGTGGAGAGTTTTGACCTTGGCTACTCGAACTGTTGTGATACAGGGGTGGAGTAAACACCCACAGTACGAAGACTGACTGTCGTAGCGTATAAGATTGCACCTCCACGAAGGTAGCACGGCCTTGACTGTGACAGTAGTATAAATCAAAACATTAGAATGTAAACGGCCGGTGGTCAGTTAATGAGAAATGTCCATGCAAACCGAGGGTGGGGGTAACTTAGTTAGGACAGACTTGCTCCGTCCACAACTGTCGTAGGCTGTCAGATTGCATCGGATCGAGGCTAATAGGGCTTGTCATTTAATGGCGGAAATCTATTAATAGAACTGATGTCATTATTACTCGTCAGCCGGGTACTCAGCGCGGACAAAATGTCAACACTGCTCAGTATCATTATGTTAGCGAAGTGTCCTTGAAATTCGTTTACAACTCTATTTTACGAAATATTTTACATATTTTTTTTTTACTTCCATTTTCTGAAATGCGACTTCATTGCGCGAACGGCAAATGTAACAGTGACTCTAGATACAAGGATCGTCCGAACGATATGCTGAAACACACTATAAGCTGCCATGTTTTAAGCAATATTTGTCCGCTGACCTTCTAAAAATAGTACCCTATGACGTTTTCCGGTCTTAGAAATGACAAGCCCTATACGACTATTATGATGAAAATATTGGCTAGTTTATAACCATTTAGGCGGATTGAATATTTCTGGTTGAGATGTGTTGGCCACCTGACCTCCACGGCTTAACCCGGGGAATTAAAACCATTATTGCGTGTGCCTGAAGAGGAAGACAGAGTGGCCAGGAATAGTAACTGACGTGGACAGTAGCATCTACAAGGCAGAGTGGCCAGGAATAGTAACTGACGTGGACAGTAGCATCTACAAGACAGAGTGGCCAGGAATAGTAACTGACGTGGACAGTAGCATCTACAAGACAGAGTGGCCAGGAATAGTATCTGCCGTGGACAGTAGCATCTACAAGGCAGAGTGGCCAGGAATAGTATCTGCCGTGGACAGTAGCATCTACAAGGCAGAGTGGCCAAGAATAGTAACTGCCGTGGACAGTAGCATCCACAAGGCAGAGTGGCCAGGAATAGTATCTGCCGTGGACAGTAGCATCTACAAGGCAGAGTGGCCAGGAATAGTAACTGCCGTGGACAGTAGCATCTACAAGGCAGAGTGGCCAGGAATAGTAACTGCCGTGGACAGTAGCATCTACAAGGCAGAGTGGCCAGGAATAGTATCTGCCGTGGACAGTAGCATCTACAAGGCAGAGTGGCCAGGAATAGTATCTGCCGTGGACAGTAGCATCTACAAGGCAGAGTGGCCAGGAATAGTATCTGCCGTGGAAAGTAGCATCTACAAGGCTAATAACTGTGGAAAAATCTGCAGTTCGAAAAAACAAATGGCAGAACCATTGAAGGGATCATGATTATAAGTTGACACTAATGGTTATGAGGCATGGGAGGGTGGTGGAAACCCCATGCCGATGATTCCATTTAGAAAGCATTGAGGAAGCTGTTTCTAGGCAACCGTTTCGTCCCAGCTGCATCGTTAATTAGTTGTGAGGTAGAAACACACTGCAGAAATCCCAATTAGAGGATTCTGATGCTTCTCCCGGATGGGAGTGGGAATATTTTACTATTCAGAACCCTGGAAAGTCAGTCGTTGGTAGGTACTGTGCATGCAGTTTCCGGTCTGCCAGATGTCCTTGGCCTAGGTCGGCCCCCATCGGGTACCCGATCGAGCGGATGCGGGTATGGGCTGACCTGGCAAAGGGAGATCTCCAACGTGCTTGGGGGGGGGGGGGGGGGTTGCTTTGGAAGTGCAAAAAAAATAGATTCGACGACCAGCTGAAGCCAGTTCCTGATGTTATATATTTATATAATTCACTACCGGAGATGTAGAAAGAGGATTGTTCTGGGAAAGAATCTCTAGGGACGCGACAACTGAATTCGAGGACTTATAAAAACGGACCGTTACACGGGACTGGGGAAAACTCAGCCAGACAGGAAAGCGGACTGTCGCGAGGGAGTGCATAGCCGGACAGTAGTAGATGACAGTAGAGAGAACACAGCCAAACAGGAAAATGGTTAGTCGGGAGGTAGAGTTGAGCCGAACAATAGTAGAGGACAGTAAAGAGAACTCAGCCAGACAGGAAGCGGACAGTGAAGGGAGACTTTCAGCCGACAGGAGTCGGGGACATTATAGAAAGAGACAGCCGGGACAATCAGTGTTGAGTGCAAGACGAGAGAAAGCCTCATCGAAGTGCTGATCAATTAAAAAAAATTAAAAAGCAAGGACTATAACCATCGTTGGGTTGTCTCATTGGTGACATTGGAGGGACAGTTGGACGAGTGTTATCATTGGTGACATTGGAGGGACAGTTGGACGAGTGTTATCATCAAAACAACGAATAGAGAACGAAAGTAGAAAATAGACGATCCAAGGGTCTCAAAAATATAATTGCTGATCCAAATATTTAAGACAAATCAAGTTAAA